GGGACAATAGAATTCCTCATTCACATTTAACAGTTGCAGTTCGGCACAGCATTTTAAAAAGACAAACAAACACAAAAAGCAAGAATTCCACTTGCACTGGAGGTTCACTTGAGGAATAATGGGCAGGGGAAAGGAACCAGATCAACCTTATTTACAAATTGAGATTGAGTGGCAGGTCCATGATGGAATGCAAGCATATAGCCAAATCTTGTTAATGTGATCATTTGAGAACAAGACGACATAGGATTTTGAAATTCACATTTGCTAGGAGGCTGCTCCAGTCTTTCTGTCATCTACAGCACAGACCGAGGGCACCATTAAAAATAGAACAAAATGCAATATTGTTGCAAATATGACAAGACCTCTGTCCATTTGTCAAATGAGGACTGAAGCAATCCTGGCTGCTGTGGAGCCAGAGGCAGGGTATAACTGAGACGGGTAGTTTGTCACAAGAGCGAAATACTGGCAGAAAATGAGTACTCTTGTAAACCTGTGAGTTTAATATGTTTTATAGCTCAACACTTGTCGTCTTTTCTAATGTGACAATTTATCACATCTGAGCTCTGAATAGGAAGGGGAGTCGAATCTGTTTCTCAGTAGTTAGTCAACGCTAATCGGCTCCACTTGCACTATACTCCACAGATTTCAGTTTATGCCACAGGAGGAAAATAATTATGTCATCTACAAGGAGCAGAAAGCTAAACTCACCTGCAAATGCCCTTTACATCCACTGCTTAGTTACTTAATGCAATAATTGACTGCGTAGTTTACATCCAAAGCTGTCGGATGAAACTGTAACAGCTGTACAGGATAACAGAACAGCTGCAGTTATCCAGAGCTTGTTAAAACTATACTTCCTAAAGTTTATGCCGTCACTCTGAAGGGCTTGGTTTGGGTTTTTGTTTTGTTTTTTTAAGCATGACATCATTTGCATCTCTCTTTAGACCTCATAGCCATTTATTCATAGCTATAGTGTGGCTGTAGTACCAATAAAATTACTATAATAAACATACGATACCTCTCCCGACAAAGACCTTGTACCCTTTTCTTCTCTTGGAACATCCAAGAGGTTATTTAGACGAATAGAAGTTGAACATCAAACAGGAATGTAATCGGTGAATCAAAATACATTTCAAGGTTTACATCAAATTTACCACTTGTGTTCAAGCAACTCTCTTAATGTCAGGAATTCTAGAATTTAATTTCTGACTAGAATTCCTTTCTAAATCAGCCTGTAGTCAATGAGCATGGTTTTCACACATCCGTAAGAAGTTGCATTTAGCTTGAAATGTTCCTCATACAAATGTTTGTGTGCTGTTGTGGCTTTCAGGTGTAGCTGCTAGTGTCTTGAGGAAATGCCACTGAGGTTTCGCTCTGTTGTACCCTATACACTGCCCGGAGTACTCGCACTGATTGGATGTTGGTGGTACATCTCACGAAAGAGAGAGCGGCTCATCAACCATGACAGGACTGAGGGAACTCCAACCACTACGGACCTTAAAACATCTTCAGCAGATGGTAGCAATGGTTTGGTGGAGAAAGACACTGTATCCCCCACAAATGACACAGACAACCCCATTCACAGACCTCCAAATGCCAGTAACCAGAGAACACAACATGAAAACATTTCACAGATCCATTTCCAGCACACTGAAGCGTCACCGTCACTGGCACAAAGTTCTGAAAAGTTTTCATGTAATTCTGAGAGAATGAAACAAGGAATCCATAGGCCTCCACAGTCAGCACTGCCATCACTTGATAAAGATGACAGCTTACAGGTATCATCAAAAGACCGTAAAGACCCAGAGAGGAGCTTGTCACTTGCCTTGGGAACAGAGCTCAACCTAGTGAAAGATCCAGTATCTGATCTAGAAAGAGCCACATTTTCCTATCAGTCTACCAAAGTCACCAGCTCCTTTCCCACAACATCGCTGCTTTCTGGTGCAGAGAGACCAGACCCGGAGGGGGAGGTTGCAAAGAATCACAGCACTAATAATACACAAGATGAAATGATTGGCTGGGATGAGCATGCATCCAATGTAGAGAGGGTGGACCCATCAGAAGCAGACTCTCTGAATACACCTCCACCAGTGCAGGATTTTCACCAACACATTCTGTCCAGCACACCAACTGACCCAGTCCTGGCCTCTACATCCCTAAGTATTGTCCAGAACACAACAGCAGTAACACCAGAGGACATATTGGTACACGGTAGCCCTGGAGAGGAGCATGATCTTGAGGATCTTGCTGCTCGACTTATAACGAAGGTCATCTCAGCTGCCACCCAGGAAGTCCTTAGTGTCACAAGTTGCCAGGTTGTGGACAAAAGTCTGCCTAACTGCAGTAGTGGTGGACTATACCCAGAGCTCGAGCCAATCATAGCAACGCAGAAACACCATCATCTCTCGACAAGCCCTTCTCAGGTAGGCTGTGATTGTAGAGAGGCAACAGAAAAAGAAGCGCAAGCAGTGCCTAACGGCTGCTCCTCGTCTCCAGTATGGAAATCTGTTGATGTCAGTCACATAAATCATCAGAAAAATGCTGTTCACAGCAGCCACTGGTCAGCACAGCTGCCCCAAGAAGCACAAACCTCACCTGTGTTGAACATTAAACTAAAAGGTGACGAGGCTGCTCCGCTGGCCGAGGACTCGGCCTGCAGCACCTGCCACTCTGAGGATGGCATTAGCAGCGAGGATCTTCAAAGCAGCATGTTTGACAACCAAAGTGATGTGATCCAGCTTACAGACCTCTCCGCAGGAGAAGCGGCACAGGGCCAGGTGCAGGCTGAGAGTTTGACAGAGGGCTTAGTTTTGTCTGCAACTGAAGACGACTCTTTGGATGCAGCGTGTGAGATAAAGGGGCTAAATGCAGTAGGTGTAAGGAATGGAGCTCATGGGACATGTGAAGTAGAGACGGATCAATCTGGAGGTGAGATTCTCTCACTGACTTTTGTATGTTTCTCATGATAGCTATTTTATTTTTTATATCAAGAATGATAACAGTGAGTTAAGAAATGTGGTGTACGTCAGCAGATGCAGTATTAGTAGTAATTTGTGACACAAACTCATAACTCGGAACATATAGAGGCTCATTTGGCCTTTTTTTGCAGTGTATTCCCGGTTATCGAGCAGTGGGTCAAAAAGTCCCCAAGAATGTGATGCCTGTTAACAAACATGTAAATTAGGACAGTGACAAGATCAAAACTGATGATGCCGGGAATCTGAAAATTCAGATGCTGTCATGCTGACATTGATTGTTTCCATTGCCAGGTTCTGATGTAAACAGTATGGACTCTGTGGATAGCGGATGCACTATGGGTGCCCTAGAGAGTAAGGGCAACCATGCTGCCTCAAGCACTGGGCTGATCATCTGGGAGATTGAGGTACCAAAGGTGAGTAAAGACAATTCATGTGAAATACAAAACCATATATTTTGTCCATGATTCCAACGCTGTACACCTCACACTACTCAATTAAAATGTTAATGTCAGTATTGTATGGAGGAATGCTATCATGATTCTACAACTAGGCAAATTTACTTTTCATAATTGTAATGCATTCATAAGAAAGCAACTTAAATATGACCCTGATTAGTGGATTTTGCAAGACATGCTTGTTTGGTTAATTGGGCACATGTGAGGTAGATGACTTTTTATTGCATATAGAATAAAATCCTGTCTGAATGAGTGGCCTGTAAGACAAGTACCGTGTAAATGCCTGTCCATATTGACGATTCTTTTCATCAGCATCAGCAACATTTAGAAATATTTTATTAAAAAATATAATATAAATACAAAGAAATAAAAATACTTTTGTTTTGAAGTAGAAGTATAGCAAGCTTTTGACATAACTGTGACACTTGGAGTTGGTGGTTCTCTCCTGTATTGAAGATGTAATGAAAGAATAGCTGTAAAAATCAGGGTCACTGGACGAGCACCAAATTTGACCAATGCCTATCTACTTTGAGGTACTGTAATTTTAAGAAGGTAAACTTTTACATGGCTTCATTGGGTATAGTAAAATTACTGTACAAAAAATTGCTTATTATGGAATTACCAGTAACTGAAACAAAAGTTCCCAACAACTGGCAGCCAACTGTTGAATAGAATGTTGGACCACTCAGGACCGTAAGTAAAGGGAAAAAATTTTTTTAATGGTTACAATCACATTAGAATTCTGAATATCCTCTGACATTAACATTAGCAAACAAACTGGGCTTCGTGACATGCGTTTTCAAAGCTGAGCAGTTGTCTATATTGTGTATTTAAAATATTTTGTCATAACTTGGTAGGCAGCATGCTAGTGGGTTTGATTAAATGTTCATTTAAACGGTTTAAAGGAACTGTCCTGTTTACTCAGTATTGTCTGTTCTACCTGTCCTCTTGTACCAGCATCTTGTAGGGAGGCTTATTGGAAAGCAAGGTCGATATGTGAGTTTCCTAAAGCAGAACTCTGGAGCAAAGATCTACATTTCTACCTTGCCTTATACACAGGAGTTCCAGATTTGTCACATAGAAGGTGAGTACTGAGGAGTTTGTCCCCACATCTTTCCATCTTCTTTAGAGATTTGTGAACAAATGTGATTTTGACCATAGGAGAAAAGCACAAGCATTTTAAACTCCTGTTTCTTACTTGTTCGTTTGGACTAGTGGTAAAATTTGACCTTGCTTGATCTTTTTCTAGGGACACAGCAGCAGGTTGACAAAGCCCTGTCGTTGATTGGGAAGAAATTTAAAGACCTGGACCTCAACAATCTATATGCTGCACCACCACCTCCACTTACATTACCATCTCTTCCCATGACTTCATGGGTGAGGAAAAATACTTGTGTTAATGATACTTTTTTTTTCTTTTTTACCCCTCCACTGTAAGGCGGATGGGATATTGTCACTCCGTCGAGCAAGCATGTGGAAAAGACACCCAAGTTTGTGAATGCGATGACTCGATAAGAGGCGATGTAGGAGCTTCGAACTGATACCATAGGTGTATCTACTAAAAGTCTTGTATAATTTTGAATCTCAGTGACCCTGACCTCAAGGCCTAAGGTCAAACTCTGAAACTCTTGTGAATGTGAAACCTCGAACAAGGCAACATAGGATTTTGACATGTCTACCAGGAGGCTGAGGGGTACCAGTTATTAACATTAATAAGAATATTTTGATTGAGATGTATTACACTAGAAACATCATACTTATTCTTCATCATACATTTTTCTTAGCGTTAAAGTAGTAAAGCTAAAGTGTTTTAAGTCCTTAGAGAGTGATGAATTATTTGGGTATGCTGATATAAAATATAAATGAGACTGGATTAATGTATTTTAAGGTTTGAGAAAGTTGTTTGTAGTTTTATGCATGACCAACATTTGTTTGATATTTGTCTTCTCAGCTTCTCCTTCCAAGTGGAGTCACAGTTGAAGTGATCGTGGTGAACATCGTGTCAGCTGGTCACGTCTTTGTCCAGCAACACACCCACCCCACGTACCATGCCTTGCGAAGCCTTGACCAGCAGATGTTCCTTTGCTACTCACAGCCAGGCACCCCTGCCTTGCCCTCACCTGCTGAAAGTAAGCTTAGTTGCTTAGTTGTACTGTGGATACTGCTAAATGTGTAAAGTTTTAGTAAACATGCGCAACTATAGGTTGTTTTAATGAAACTTTGACATTTGATTTATGCCTAATTTTAAATAATTCTCACTGCATCAGTGAAGCTGTAGTTTAAGCAAGTTTTGTTTAGTTTTTTTTAAATTGCAAATACATTTTTTGGTAAACTAACAAGGTCCCTGTGCTTCTGTTTCTTCTTTTTCTACATGAAAGTAACCCAGTTTGATACATGGCTGAAATAAGCTAATTGTCACATGCAGTTGATGAACAACAAGCTAATTTGGTAAAGGTCATTCAGCTACTTTTAGCTTTTATTCTGTTTTTTGTCTCTTTTCTGTTATCCAGTTGGTGTGATCTGTGCAGCTCCTGCAGTTGAAGGAGCCTGGTGGAGAGCTCAGGTCATCACTTTCTACAAAGAATCGAATGAAGTGGAGATCAGATACGTTGACTATGGAGGCTATGACAGAGTTAAGATTGACTCACTACGGCAAATAAGGTTATTATAAGAGATCTCACTGTATTAAAACTTGTACTCTAAGATGGCGTCATTTAGAGTGTTTGCTTTATAAAACATGCCTCACTAACACAAGCACTTTTTTTTTCTTTGCTTAAGTGCTTTCTATCTAACATTCGCACACGCTCCTCAAGAGCAACTTGGTAGATATTACGCATGCAGACTGGAACAGCCAGTAGATTACCTCCCATCCCCAAACAAAGCATTTGCTGATTAGACAGTTTAGTTGTTGTGTGATTCTGGTATTTGTAATACCTTTTTATTTGATTCAGAATTAAGTAGTGAAGTGTTAATGCCAAAGTCAGCGAGAAACGAATCTCTTGCAAGGTAAAGTTGCTGCAGAAAGTTATCCCAACATGCAGACTAGAGAAGCTGGGAATCAAAATGCCAACGTTCTGATTAGTAGATGACCCACTCACCCACATCAAAACTTTCTGCTGTGGGGCACACTCAGTTCTTGAACTTTCTAATGCCCTAACCTGAAATTATGGAGTTTTTGAAAGGTAAGGTTAGCCCATTGGGTATTAGTTGTATGTATATATCCACATTTATAATAGCAAATAAATAAAGGTGCACAAAAGATTATGGTTGTTGATGTTGCAGAGTTTATCCTCCAGAGGGTATTCTACTTCTGTTGGCAACAGGTTGTAAGGCCTGAGTTAGACTTCTGTAGTAAAACTTTGTAGAGCCTGAGTGAATCTACATTAATGGACAACATTACTCAGTGCTGCATTATTTGCTAATTACCTTGTGGTTGTGTCCGTGTTTTATGTGTATTTATGGATTTTGGTCGTAGAGAAGCCCAGACTTCCTTCACCCCGACCTCCTCTTCTAGCTTGTATTGTCAGACACAGATGTTCCCATGTTATCTCTCCAGTGAGTATTGGGTCTGCCCCAGGAAATCCTCCCAGTAGAACATACCCACCTAGGAGGTATCCAGCAGGCATGCTAGTCAGATGCCTGAACCACCTCAACTGGCTTATTTCAGTGTCCTTTCAGCAGCTCTACTTTCCCCTCTTGAATGAAAGAGTTCCTCACTCGATCTCCAAGGGAGAGCCCAGTCACTCGTTAAAGGAAATGTTCCCCTCTCCTTGCAAATGTCAGCAAGACCCATAGATACTTGAAATCCTCAAAGTGATAGTAACTCATCCCTGGCCCATATGGGGCACTTTTCCAGTCTTTGCCCTTTTCCGCCTGTGAGCCATGGTTTAGGGCTTGGAGGTGATGTGAAGCCAACAGAACCACATTATGTGCAAAACATGAAGATGAAATCCTCCAGCCTTGAGAGCTTTTTGCCATTGAAACCCCGAGGGATGCAGTCAAATCCCATTTCCAGGTTAACAAAACTCATGTAGACTGGGTGGGCAAACGCCTATGCACCCTTGAATGTCGTTGAGAGGATACAGACCTGGTTTCAGTGCAGGGACACTGGACCCTAATTTGTGTTGCATATGGGTTATCTGAATCACTTTGTCTGACCCTCCACTCAGGACTAATTTGCCATGGGAAACAATAACAGGGGGCAACTTGCCCCTGACAGCATAGCTTCTGGGATCACTAGAACACAAACCCCTCCACCATGATAAAGCGGTGGTTCATGGAGCGGCTTATGGAGACATTAATTTATTATTCGTAATATTTGGGGGTGGCTACTAGGCCACTTGGTCAAGGTTGGTGGTCCAGTTTGCATGCCAAATACTTTTGGGCAAGATGCTAATCCCAAGTTGCTCTGTGATGCATCCATCAGAATATGAAAGCGTGTGAATGTTGGATAGAAAGCACTAAAAGCTTCGAAAGGGAAAAAAAGTGCTTGTGTGACTGGGTGAATGAGGCAAGTTGTGTAAAGTGCTTTTAGTGCTCAGAGTAGAAAAGCAACATACAAGAACTCTCATTGATATAATTCAACAACTGAAAGTAACCAGAAATGCATAATAAGCTTCATGGGTAAGGAGCAGATTGCCTCAATGCTGCTGACCAATGTGTAGTTAAGAGATGCACATCAGGCTGCATAATGGGTTGTGGTGTAGGATTTAAGAGCGGGTTGTGTTACTGAGCATTTATGCTTCAGTAAGAAATCCATGTTTTAGCTACATTGTAACCACAACTGATATGACCAAAGTTGAGCAGAGCATAACTGAATAATACATGACGTGCGTGTGTGCGACGGAGTGAGAAAAATCTGCCAAACCAAATGTTTGTCTTCCGAATCAGTCAGACTGTAGGCACTGGTTGCAGAGACAAGAAATACAAACAAATCCCACAAACTGCTCGAGCAAAGGGAGGAAAGGGCAAAAAAAACGAAAAAAGCAAATTAAACAAAATCAACAACAGAATCAGCAGAATGTGGTAGGTGAAAAAAAAAAGAAAAGGAAAAAAAATTCAGAAAGTAAAAAAGCAAGGGAACCAAGGGTAAAAGGCAACGCAACAATTAAGAAAAGCGGAAAAAAATATATTTATTAAACTGCAAAGTGTATATACACTCGTCCAAGTCTGCTCATTGTTATTTTCCAGGTCTGACTTTGTGACACTACCATTTCAAGGTGCTGAAGTATTACTCGACAACATCGCACCACTACCAGGTACAGTTTGGAAAAGTCTTTGGGGAGATAGTGGTGTACCTACCTAATGTCAGTGGCAATTTGTTAAAACAAAGTATAAACTTTGCCTTATGAAACCTGCAGATACTCTTTTGCTGGAAGGATACCTGCAAGTGTTGTTCTGAAATGTGTTTAAATTGTCTGTGATCAGGAGAGGATCGTTTTTCAGCTGAGGCCACATCAGAGCTGGAGGAAATGACCAGAGGAGTCCCATTGCTTGCGCAGGTGAGACCACCATTCTCAGTGACTTTTTGTAATGTAGAAAAGTTGGGCATTACTAAGTTGCGTGTTTGTTTTGTTTTGTTTTTTTGCTGAAGGTCTCCAGCTATGATAACAACACAGGCCTCCCGCTGGTCCACCTGTGGAACATGGTTGGAGAGGAGGTATGACATAAGTCTTGGATCCTTGCCACTGTTTTCATGTTACCTCTGTACCTCTAATATCTTAATTAATGATTCTAATCCTGTTCCTTTAAGACGCAAGTCACTGATCATTTTGTTTCTTCCCCTCTTTCCCCAGCATAGTCTGGGATAGTCAAATATGCACTGCTATGATGCCACTTTTTTTAAAATGAAAACTTGATTTAAAGTTAAATTAAGTGTAAAGTTGTTGTTTTTTTGTTTTTTTTTGTTTGTTTTTTTAAATTGGTGACAATGATGCTTATTTAATTGATGCCCAAAACCTCAGGCAGCAAGCACAAGTATATTTTTTTTTCCATGCATTTGATTTTTTTGAGTTGTTCCCAGCTAGAAAGACCCCAGAGATTAAAGGCTGGGATCTCTTTAAATGACTGGTCTCAAACACTTTCTTTAAATCATCCAATAATCCATCAGAACACTGACAAAGTAGAAGAGAGAGAGAGAGATGATTACTGATATTACACAATATACACACATAAATGCATAAAGCATCTTGAATTGGTTTTACCTGTAGTGATTCACTGACTGTTGGTCTTCTTTTTGCAGGTTATATCTGTGAACCGTACACTGGCAGAGAGAGGCCTGGGTGTTTGGGTGGATGGATTTTGAACTTGCATGGTCTCTCAACTTCATCAAACAGTTCACTTGATCTAAAAAAAAACAAAAACAAAAATTCCCTCCTCACGCTATTGCCCCTTCTCCTCTTTCCCCTCCTTTAAAAAGAAATACATTGTTTGCAGGTATCACGGACATGATGAACAAGAACATAACGCTACTTTAATATGACAGCCTTCCATTTTTGTTCTGGTGTTAAAATAGGAGAAAGGAATTTTGTCTTTTAAAAAAAACAACAACTTTTGCACACTGACAGTGGGTCGAGTGTGAAAGGACAGGTACCTGCATCAGTCTAATGTAGTCATCTGTAGGTTAGTGCATTTCAAAGCTGCCTGGCTTGCCTGGAGTGAAAGTGGGGGACACAAAAGCTTACAGCACTGCAAAGTGTAGAGATGGTCAGACGGTGTTCCCTGTGGGAGCACTGAGCTAATCTACCCGGCCCTGCGGCCTCAGAGCTCGGACTTCTCTCTGGTCTCCTTTAGCAAGGACAGAGGAACTACCTTGTTGCTTTTTGCTTTGTTTTTCTCCATGAAACTGATTTGCAATACCAAATAATTATCATAAATGACCTACCATACAAAATGCGGTTGAATGATTGCTCTACATGTTGGCAGGATTTTTTTTTTTTTGTTTGTGTGTGTTTGTGTGTGTGGGGTGTGGGGTGGGGGGGTGTCCAGGTCCAGATTTTTCATCTGAGGAAGCAGATCGTTACTTTGGGGCAATGCAAGTTCCTCAACGGGAGACGTTCAGTTTGGCTGACAAAACTACAGATTGATTTTTGAGGTGCTGTTTAAAAAAACAAAACAAAACAAATGAAATAAAAAATCAGTCTATTTAGTCTCCCCCATTCCTGAAGGTTGATTATTTTATACACAAAAGGTGAAATGAACCATATGCAAGCTTGTGATTGAATGTGCTGTATTTTCAAAACTAATTACCAAATGGTTAAAAATCAGACTTAACGACTAAATTCAGTTAGTGTCATGAGTTTCCATTTACGCTGGAGACTTTCTGCCTGTTGTGACACAGAGGGATTTCTTCTACACTTGGAAAACTTGGTTGATTTGACAGAATCCCATACTTCAGTACTTCTAGTCAGACATGGTGAGGGATATCTTCAGCTTCACTGAGCAATGATAAGCAGGCTCAACAACTGGCTTTGTTAACTAAATATACTCATGCGAACAAGTTGAGTTCTAATTTACAAATTACATGATCGCAGCTGTGAATGGAGTACCTAATGTGACAGACTGAAACTGACCTGATGTGTCAGGAGCTATGTTTGGAGGAATATATATATATGATTTAAATCCAGAAGGTGTTATAACACAGAAGAACATGTTTATGTATTTAAAGTTGCCTGTACATGTAAAAACTCCTACACGTCTTTCATTTTGGTTGGCTTTAACCATTTAATATATATTAACTGACAGTCTTTTGGTTTTTGTATAACTGCCAAGATGTATTCTAGATTGTGGGAGTCTGTATGTGTGTACATATTTATATATATAAAAATGGAAGACTGTACTGGAACAAAGAAAAGGGATGAAATTTTACTTATTAAATATAAAATGACACTTTAAGGCAACATTGGGTTTATTTACTGCCACTTACCCTTACAAGATAGCCTTGATGTTCTGACCTGCACTAATAAAGTTCAGTATCATGGGGAAAAAAACTTGACTTGGGCTCCAGAAAGATTTTGATCTGATCCTCTGAAGTAGCCATGTATTTATTAGCGGTTCACCATGATGGTGTGCTTCTGTTAATACTGGGCTAGTTTTTTATGGGGGGGGGAGGGGACAAAACCTGTTGTCTTTAACAGTAAGAGCTTGGAGTCTTTAAAGGGAACTGATATTAGCCTACTGCATAAGAATTTATTTATTTAAGCTAGCTGACATGATGTAAGCCTGAGCATCTTTCATAAAGAGGCTTCAGAAGAGGAGCAACGCTTATTGTGGCAAGCTGGCTTGAATCACAAATAAGGATCAAATGTTCATATACTAAAACCAGACTTGCAGAGATGCTGAGCACAGGTCATAGCTCACCACTGAAGAGAACACAGGACAAAAATGTACTGCAGAGCGGATGGAAAGAAACTATAAAATGAACAGATTATTTCAACCCATTTAAAAACTGAAGATGTGGTTTAACTGATCGATGGAGCAAGGCAACCATGCAAGAGCACTCTTCTGTCATTTGTCGAGCTCGACAGCGAATCAGTCCAATCACATACAACTGCTGGTTTTTGGTTCAGTCTGTATTTAAATGGTGACATGATGAATCTACAGATTTTATTTATCAAATAGTAACTTGCAATGGTAAACTCAAAATGGTAACTGTCTGTTAGCACTTCCTCAACCTCATTTTAACATGAAAATGTTACAGTGAGTTTGCAGGGCATGAATGGATCCTGGAATGGCCCAAGTTTAAATGATATGGACTGTGTGCACTTCATTTTTTAATTGTTTTTTCTTTAACATGAATGAAATCACTGTTATTCTAGCAATAAGGCAGCTTTATTCTGACTGAAGAACAGATTAGGGAAGGGGTTACCTGTTGTTTAATTTTGCTAAGAATGTTGACTTGATACTTTTTGTCAAATTCTTGATTATAGTCAAACTCAATGCATCTCTCTCACATGGTTAATTCAGTGGTTTAGTGACTCAACCCGTTCAGATACCTTGTGGAAGAAAATGGGTTGGTTGTGTTCAAACCATAACATTGAGTTATATGAAATTAGGCATGCATACAGTGTGCTTCGCATCAGCCCTATTGGCTTTTGCATTTTTCCATCCATCCATGTTTTACATGATCTCTGCTCCTGTGTGTGTATGTTGGGTTTTTTTGATTTGTTTTGGGGTTTTTTCTTCAATTCATGCTGGTGTTTGTCCTCCTAACAACAATCCTTCACTACAGCCTCAGATTGTGATGCTTTTGTTCATTTTCCTGTAGATAAGATGACTGTAATTTTCTATAACACTGAAGACAGAAAGATAAGGGAACATTATTTTTTCGTTTCTAAGATTTCTTCCATTTCATCCTGCCCCTGCCAGCTTTCAAATGTTTTCAAGCTGTGGGACTGACTATTAGGGTTTGTATCGCTAGTCAAGTCATCATTTGATTATTTAACTGGATGTTAAACTGTTATGCCGAAAATCAATTAACATGTACAGATCAGTTTTTGTTAGGATTATATTAAGTTTGATTTGATTGTACAGATCTGTTAGGAAAAAAAAATAAAAGTTCTTGAAAGTGGTTTCAAATCGTCTGGAAGCGCCTCGTTTTCTGTTTTCTTGTAGTATAAATTGTTTATACTGCTTTGGCATCATCTCAGAGTGTAGTGGTTAACACGCACTGAGCATGAATCACAAAGATAACCACCGTTGTGATATTCATCATCTGAGGTCTAAGATTATGTCAAGCCAGCTAAGAAAGTTTGGCTTTGTTGAACTTAGTTTGTTGTATACTTGAATGGAACTGATACCATTGACTGATTCCCACGCTCACCTAAATAATTCTGGGACAATATAATTTAGTTTATACAGTCCCAATCAAAAGTTTAAGACTTGAAAAGACATCTGAAAAATGGCAAAAAAAATATCATACTTTGCATGGTTGGAGCTTAAGGATCCACGTAGATCAGCGGCCTTTTTTGCGCCACAGACCGGTTTATGCCCGACATTATTTTCACGGACCGGCCTTAAGGTGTCGCGGATAAATACAACAAAATAAAACTAGTACCGGTACCGAAAAAAAGACGATTTATTAATAACACACCTGAAAAGACCCAGGAAAACAGAGTTAACGATAAAAACAATAACAAAATAACGCTGAAAACAGATTTAAAAACCCTGAAAACCATACATTTCACACCTGAGCCTCAACTCTCGCGGCCCGGTACCGTTCCGAGGCCCAGGGGTTGGGGACCGCTGACGTAGAGCTTCAGCATGCAACAAGAAGAAATGGGAGTGAGACAAAACATTTTTTGAGCATGAAATTTATTGAAAACGTTTAAATTGAAACAGGCTGTTTTACAGCTGATCAAAAGTTTAGGACCATGTGCCTTTAAAAGGCCAAATCAGTGCAAAAATGTGAATTCATTGTCATTTTCTGTCAGGTAGTCACACTGTCAGGATGTTGTGATGGCAAAGGCAAAAAAGCTTCCCCTTTTTGAACGTGGTCGGGTTGCTGAACTGCAATAGCAGGGTCTCTCGCAACGCACCATCGTTGCTGAGGTGGGACAAAAGTTGATTCTGTTCATCTGGACGTAGTGTTTTCAGTGGGAGAAACGTTTTGTCACTCATCCAAGTGACTTCTTCAGTCACTGAAGACTGAAGAAACTACATCCAGATGAACAGAATCCACTTTTGGAGATTTACTTACCTGGATGATTGAGCATGAATCAAGAAAGTAATTTGGAATTTCTTAAATGATCCTGAGGGTTATGGAATAAAAAGGTCAAGTGGAAGACACCAAAATTTCACCAGCACTGAGATGGAGGATCCAGTTTGCTGTGTCAAGACACTGGCTGATCCTCAACCCAAATTAAGGCCTTGACTGGTGCCGACTGCAGCCCCATAGCCATCAGACAGCATCTGAGACCGAATGGCTTCAAAAACATAAAACGTCTTCAAAGGCTTTGTCTCCTTGAACGCCACAGAACTGACCATTTGGACTTTGCACCAAACATGAGACATGAAAGGTGGAAGAAAGTTTTATTCTCTGTTGAGGAAAATGTAACCTTTATGGTCCTGATGGTTTCCAAGGTTACTGGCATTACAAGCAAATCCCACCAAAGATGTTTTCTACACACACAGTGGAGGGGGCGCCATAATGGTCTGGGTTGCTTTTTCTTCAGTGGAACAATGGAGCTTCAGGAGGTGCAGGGGCATCAAACGGCCGCTAGCTATGAAGAGAACATCCCTCATGACTGAGGGCTCTCATCTGTGTGGTAACGACTGGGTTTTTCAACAGGACAACGCTACAGTACACAATGCCCGCAGGACAAGGGACTTCTTCCAGGAGAATACCATCACTCTTTTGGACCATCCTGCGTGTTCCCCTGATCTAAATCCAGTTGAGAACCTTTGGGGACGGAAGGCAAGGGAAGTTTACAAAAATGGACAACAGTTCCAGACAGTAGATCCCCTTCTTGCAGCCGTCTTCGCCACCTGGAGAAATGTTCCCATTCACCTCATGGAAACGCTTGCATCAAGCATGCTGCAATTAATTATAGATCTGATCAACAATAACGATGGAGCTACTCATTACTGAGTTCATGTTTTGAACTCTGATTGCTGTTTTGGGGGGTTTATGGGTTTTTTTTGGAGGTGTGGTCCTAAACTTTTGATCAGCTGTAAAACAGGAAATCAGTTTAAGCGTTGTTTATGATAAATTGCGTGCTTAATAAAATGTTTTTCTCACTCTCATTTCTTCTTGGACCTTGTTAAGATCCAACCATGCAAAATATGATTTTTTGCCATTTTTCAAGTGGTCTTAAACTTTTGATCAGGACTGTATCTATCTGACGCTGCCAGGTTGCACCTCAGACTCAAGGAGCTCAATGATGCCCTGGTCCACATGTGGGAGGGGATCCCCCAAGACACCATGTGTTACAGTCCCTAAATTTAAGTATCATCTCATGAGGATTTGGCTCAGGCATGCATACATACAAGCATGTGGGGTCCATACAAACTACTGTGCAACATTTTAAGTTGTGGCAACGCTGGATCTTTTTTTTCTTTTTCTTTTTTACTTCAATTTTCAAGATGTCTTTGAATTCAGCCCTCTGTAGATTGATCACTTTAATTTCCTGACTTTTGTTCCTAACATTATCCAGTCCATATACAACATGATTCCTCCCACTCCTTTACGATCTGATGTGTTTTGTGAAATTGTGTTTTGTGAAGTGATTGATAGCTTATGGATAGTGAAAAATATAACAACAGGAGTAACAGCTCAATGTGGTTGAAAGTTTGAATCTGAAACAAAAGGTTGTGAATAATCAGCTAAAATAGTTCGCCCAACGTTTTAAGAAATAGAGCTAAAACTATGATAAAGGACGAAAGAGTTAAAAAAAATATTTATGTTAGACACCAACATCTAGTTGAAACTGAATAAACCAGAGGATGGATATTTTGATCCCAAAAGGTGACTGCTGAATTCTTTTGACGTACAATTGTGAGCAAAATTAAGTCATACAGTCTGTTCCTCAAAATGTTAATACCCACAAGTCAGACAAGCAACAGCCAAGCCTGTATTAATTATTCAGTTAATAGTAGCTTTGAGTCTCTGGCCAATCTTGTTAAAAAACAACAACAAAAAAACCCGCTTGAAACTTTAAACTTGCAAAACAAATTCACGATGTTTATTGTTATTTTGCATACCAGTTCATGATGTGGTTTCAGGTAAGTTATGAACGCCAGGCTGGGAGACAGAAATTGTACATACATTTATTAGTCTCAGATTTAGCCATTCTTATATTTTGCTTGTTTTATGTTATTGTATTTTTGCACAACTGTTGCTAGTGAAGCTCGCACACAAGAATTTCACATCACATGTACTGTACCAGTGTACCTGCACATGTGATGTGACAATAAAAGTGATTTGATTTGATTTGATTTGAAACTATGATGTTTTGCTCTTCAAACACAAGATTGGTCGCATCTGAAAATCTTGATTTAAATTGACGCTTTTCCAGTCTTTCCACATTTCTTTCTGTTCCATAAGCTACTTCAGCTCAAATTTATCTGTTTCGGTCTTGCAGTATCTCAAATATACATTTTTCATCATGTAAGACATCGAAAGACTTCATGATGAAAGAAATTTTCAAGCTCACGGGCACGTCACTGCAACCCCCACTGGCTTCTGCTCCGCAGTTGCTGAATGACCCCTCATCTGGGACTCTCCTCAGCTCTTTCTGGGATAGTGGCGCGGCTGCCCCTCTGTTGGTCTTCCTTGGTCTCTTGTGTTCTGGGGGCCTCTGGATGTCTGGAGTTTTGATCTCCTCCATACCTGCTTCCTGCCCTGAAGGACGGGGCAGTGGCCCCCACACCCTCTAGCAGATCATTACATGAAGGAACCTTTTAAAAAACAAGCACGTCCATGCTCACAGGTGTACACACGGGTGATCACACACACAAACTACACCCTTTTTGGCTCCTACCTCAAAGCACACTGTGCGCTATTGATCTTACGTGCTGCACAATAATGTTTAATATTTAGTATTTACTGTCATATTCCCATATATCATTGTGATGTTGTTTATTCTATTACTCTCGTTTTCTTCTGCTTGTTTTCTTTTTTCTTTCTCAACAGGTGATCCAGGTGATCGATATATGTTTTGTTTTTTTTGTCTGCTTATTTAGTTGTTTTTTTGCCCTTCTCCCCCGTCCCTCTTCTCAGCTGTTTTTCTTTCCCTCTTTCTTTCTCCCCTTCTTTCCCCCAGTCAAGTCTGTCCCGTATTCAGCAAGTGAAAATAAAATAAACAATAAAAGGTGAATCAAATGGACCATTACGGCAAGGCTGGGATGGTCCATTTGGTAAAGTAAATCCGTTGGGCATCTTTCTTCGCCTTTAGACAATAATTCTGATGGCAAAAGAGCCAAACGGGACAGGAAAAAAAAAAATTCAATCTACACCAGAGTTACACTCCACAAATAAGATAACTCTTTGTTGTCACTGCACAGTCATACTTAGTACAACGAAACTGGAAAACTGTCCCATGTCGGCACTAAGCACTACTAAACACAACATGGAAGAAACTGAAGTTGGTGAAAATATGGTTTGTTTGTTTTTTGTGAATTACCTTCCCTGTTAACACTTAAAGTAATTGATATATTATTTCTTAAATGTTTTAACAAATAATATTGCACAAGTATGGGTATGTCTTTTAGTTTGAAGATCAGCGTATTTCATGGCTAACGTCATACATCCGGTAGCCAGCTGAATTTTAACGTCATTTCTGCTGGTACGTGTGTAGCTACTGTATTCCCGTTCTAATGTTAAAAGCTGCTGTCCTGCTGGTCAGCTGTTCTTCCTCTATCGCGTGGAGCTTTGTGTGGATACTGTCTGTTTAACCGGACATCGGGGTCTCTGTGAGTTTTCCAAACATTGCTCTTATGTTTTTTTTACCCCATGTCGAAGGACAAGTTTAAAAGACATAGCTTTAACTGTCCGATTGTTGTGTATGCTTGCTTACTTTACCGCTTATCTTTGTAAACAGCAGCTTGGCGATTTCTTAAAATGTTGTTTTGAACAGTATGATTTCTTGCGAGGGAAATGTACTACGTGTTCTTTTAGCATCTGAAATCCGATGAAACATTTTGAAAGTGTCTTAATTTAGGTTTGATGATGCGACTGCGAATCACTTACCGAGGCCTTGGAATGACGATTCCCTGCTCGGAGGACCCTATGTACCTGGTAGTGATTAGTTAGCCAATACAGCTAACATATCGGTGCTAACCCTAGTTTAATTAAAGGGAGCTTAGAATGTTACCCAGTGTTACCTAAAGTAACCCCACCCCCGCCGTTTTTCACTTAAATTGCGTTAGGATAAAGACTTAATATTGCGAGCAAAATATACATTGAGAGTTGGACCGTTAGCTAGTTAGCAGCGACCTAGTCTGTTTAGAGCACATATAAACCCTGCTACGATACAGCAGCAGCGATATCAGACCCCTGTTTAAAAGCTGTGCTACATTCTAAACTTCTGAGGTTTTAACATGTGACAGTCCACGGTTTCATTGGTCTGACCCCGTTTGAATGTGCATGAACTCCACATTTAGGCTGCATTGAACTGGATTTATCAGTTCAAAATATAGGAGTCTCAGCGCAGTTGCTGATGGAGCATAGGGTTCATCCGTTATTACCGCGAACATCCGTCAGCCTTTATGAACGCATCTGCTGTTGTACTATCAAAATATCTGTAATTTCTGCTAGGGCTGCAGCTGTCAATTTTTTATTTTTAGTAATCGGCTATTCTTTGGATTACTCCATCAATTAATCGAGTAATTGGATAAAAATAATTTTTGCGCTATTAATGAACAATAATGAATATTAAAAATAGAATAGAATAGCCTTTTCTTGTCATTGCACATGCATAACGAAATTGTAGGTGCTCCGTTCAAACTATGCATGGATAAAAATATAAATGGTAGGACAGTAAGAATAAATAACAAAACAAGAGGAATATATACAAAGCAGGAGAAATGCACACATTAGAGGACACAAAGAAAAAACACAGGTACTCCAAAATGAGCTGTTAGAAATGGCAATGTTTTAATAATTTAACTGCACAACAACATCTCTTAAAACAACTAATATAGTATTTTGTTGTTTTAAAATAGTTGGGTTTTTTTTAAAGAAAACATTTTCGTAAATGCAAAAATAAATAAATAATCTCAAGCATGGTAATATAAAATAAAATAAAATAATATATACATGCAACAAAAAATAAGGAATAAAATAAAATTGCCTGTACAGCACGGTGATTAGCACATTTGCCTCACAGCAAGAAGGTCCTGAGTAACTATGTGTTAGACTGGGCACACAGACCTGTACCCTGCCTCCTGCCTCTGCCACCATGACAAGGATAAGCGGAAGAAAGTGGATGGATGTCTTCTTGGAAGGCTTTCTAACATTAATATGTTGCAAAAATAATTTTGTGTTGCATCTGCTAGATGAGATAGATTAAGTGTGTTTTCATATGTATGTGTTTTGTGCATGTGTTTCTGCGTATTTAAGTGTGTATGTGAATATGAGAGTTTGTGTGTCTGTAAGCCTTAAAAGAGTGTGTGTGGTGGCTGCAATGAAGAAAAGCAAGCATATCAGCATTCTGAAGTTTGCCCTGTGCATTGATGTATAATGTTTTTGCTGCTGAACAGACATTATGATGGTGTAGATGTTAATAATAATTCACTGTCCAAACTAACAGCCCCAGGTCACTGGCTCAGAGTTTTTTGGGGGAAAAAGTTGTTGTGAGATAATATTTTATATTATTTCACTTTAAATCTGTAAAATAACTTTACAAAAGCCTTGAAATAAATATGGTCTCTAAACTCACAAAATATGGTCTCTAAACTCGCCCATTTATTGCAGGTGTCGCAGGTCACTGAGATGGAAAGTGGGACTTCTGCCGTCAGCCTTCAGCAAGCGGCGTAATTAACTTAGTCTGATACACGGTTTAACCGTCCATCTGCATATTTTAAAGATATCCCACTTACGTGGCTTTACTTTAGATTTTTGCTGTGTAAAACAAATGGTGGTGAATACAGCTACAAAGTTAGCTTTTCTTCACGTCAGAGTTCCACCTCTCAGCTCTTCGTGGTGTAAACAGACTCTGGCTCCATGTTAAACTATGCTAGAGTCATCGTCGCTGCTGCTGTTCTGTCAGTCTGTTGGAAAAACTGCGTGGGCTTAATATTGTGAAACTTTTTATTCACATGCTACTCCTACATATGGTTGTATTCCAGGTCTGTTTTTAGTCACAAAAGTTACAGAGTGATGTATCAATCGAAGCAAATAATTTGTGTCAAGGATTTTTTATAATACAGTTATTTGAATTACTGGATGACTGGTTGCTACATTAATATCTGCACAGTTCAAATAACTGTCTGCACAGGACAGGGCTGTAGATTAACATTGTTAGCTCATAGTACTGGTGGTAACAAGGTTGCCAGTTTTGTAGCACAGAGCAAAAAGTTGTAGTGCAAGCATGAAATGTGGTGTTTTTTTTTTTTAACATTGTGTCTTTTAAATATCTTGTTTGACACGACATAAGAATTGTTTGATTTTCTCCTTTTTAGCTGCTTCTGAGCAGTAGTGACAAAATCAAAGCTGTGCCTTAGCATCATAAATCAGCCATGGAAAGTCGTTTTTTCACTTGCTGTTGTACTTGTAAGCCTTTCCTTTTCTTTCAGACGTACCTTCATTTGGTGCAGGTTGTGTGTTTGTTTTGTCCTGATGGGCTGGTTTTCTTTAAAAGGTTTGAAATATTGCTCCATTCTTTTCAGCGTGAAAATACGCTTCCAGATTCCAACTCCTTCTATAAGGACCCCCACACAAGATCACTTGTGGTCACTGCACCGGGTGTTCTGATGACCACAGGGATCACTGTTGCCTTCACCCTCCATATCTTCTTCGGTTCTTCTCTGAGGCCTTGGTACTTCTTGAGCTTCTCGTGTTCCTTTTTCCTTATGTTGCTGTAACTCAGTATAACAATCACTACGGCCATCTTCCTCTACTTGTCTACCACTCCTATGTCCAGGTTGGTTAGCCATCATCAGTTTGTCTGTCTGTATCTGAAGTCCCACAGGATCTTAGCTCGTCATTCTCAACCACCCTAGGAGGCGTGTCCCATTTTGACCTCAGGACTTCTAGGTTATACTCTGCGCAGATGTTCCTGTTCACTATGCTGGCCGCTTGGCAGCATCCCACGTACGCTCTGCCTGCTAGCATCTGACACCCTGCTGTTATGAGCTGGATTGTCTCGGGAGCATCTTTACACAGCCTGCACCTGGGGTCTTGCCTGCTGTGGTAGACCCCAGCCTCTAACAATCTTCTGCTCAGAGCTCGATTTCTCGTTCACTTCTTTCATACAGCTTGATGACAGATATGTAGAGGAGGTGGCTGACGATTGCTCCATTCTGTAGTCGGTATCCGTAGCCAGTCTTGCAGTGATCTCACTGAGGGATTTAGGCCTATGCAGAACAGCAGTGGGGGCAGGTTATCTCCTTGGTAGATCCCACACTTGATGTTGACTTGTGCAGTTGGCTTGAAGTTGACCTCTAGTATTGTTCGCCCCATCCCCTGAAGGCATCAAAACTATGAATGAACAGATATGGAAATATGTAGTAAACAAAAAAGTGTGAAATAACTCAAAACATGTTTTATACATGTTTTGATTAAATTCTTCAAAATAAATACTCTTAAGTGAAGTCAAATAAAATAAAATAGGATGAATGTGCAATTTAAACTAAGGCTTAAAAATGTATCTCTACTCTGTCTTCTTGGAAGGCTTTATACGTTTTTTACACGTGTTTCTGTGTGTTAAACTGTGCAAGCATATCAGCATTCTGAAGTTTGCCCTGTGACGCAAAGTTTTTGTGCTGCTGAAAACAAGATGTTATGATGGTGCAGACGTTAATTAATATTAACAATAATTCACTGTCCAACTTAAAACCCCTCAGGTCAGTGACTCACTGGCCCATATTAATTTTATTGGCATGTGAAAAAATATGAACACAATTTAAATGAGACAGTATTTTATATTATTTCACCTTCAATCTTAAAATATCATGAAAACATTGAAATAAATCTGGTCTAGTACACACCATGCTCCCCTTTGGATTCACCCCTGTTCACTTCAATTTAAAATAGGATGGCTGCTGCCAGCCAGGCTGCCTTTATACAGCTAGTCGCAGCATTTCCGAACCATAATCATATACAGGTCTCACTACTATCTTGTGAACTGCTGCCATCCTTCTGTCACAAGTCACCCTGACACTGCTAATCTCCACTCATTCCATGATGCCTGCACTCTCTTTTTATATTTCTGATGCACTTCTGGTTCTTTTTCCATGGTTTATCCCAGGTATCTACCTTCACTACCTCTACTCCTTGGATGTTGACCTTTTCACCCGTCTCCGTCTGAAGCTGGTTTTATGGTCGAGCAGAAGTGGTGTGTTCATTGTCAGCTTCAGTCCGGGCCCCTCTGCCTGCAGGAAGCTCTGCTGTCAGATGGAAGATATGCAGGCCACTTTTGCTCGTGTTGTTAGTCTGTCAGGCAGCCTCGGAGAAGAGCAAATATGTAACATCCAAAAAAAAGTAAAGTGAAACAGAGTGTTAGAAATAATGAAACGTGTCCACTGCAGCCCTCGTTTGTGCTTTTCAAGCTGTTTTTTGATCTTTGAAGTTCTTTTTTTCTCCTCAGTTCTCCTTTTCCCAGTAAACTCCACTATACCATAAAACCAGCTTTATTTATACTCATGTATTCGGTTTTGCTCCTACTGACTTTCATTCCTCTTCTCTCCATTTCATACCTCCACCTCTCCAGTCTCTTTTGCAGCTGCTCCTTGCTCGCTGCAGATCACAATGACACCTGTGAACATCATAGTCCATGGAGTATCATACTATCACCACTGTAAACAAGAAAAGGTTAGAACCATTTTGTTATTCCACTCTTACCAGTCACCGTCTGTTCCTCCCAGTTCCTCAAGTACATGTTTACCTTTGCCATTTCATTTTCTCCCCTGCAAAATCCACTTCCATATGTCCTTCCTCATGTTAACATCATACCTAGCCAACACCTCATCACCTTTGTTCCCTTTATCTACATGCCCATTGATGTAAGCTCCAGTCATCACTCGTCTACCCAGGGACATTTTTTGTTACTTCATCCAACTTAAGCCTCGATTATGCTTTCCATGTCCACAAGTCTGCTGCCTGGTTTTAAGTGACATAAATTTCATAATAAGAAAGTAAAGGTGGGGCTTCGTACCAGTTTCCCATCTGTTCTTTGTGACCAAGCGGACTTGTCCAGAGAATTTCTATAACTGTGCACCAGCTACACGTGCCCAGGGGCTGAACTTCCAACCCAGTATCAATGCAAAGCATGTAACACCGGTCCAACTTGTGGATGTCACATTTAGCCTCTCTTAAGTGTGAAATGGACCCACATACAGAAGTTGCAGTACGCTGCAGTACAAGCCGTGGTGATATTTTATTTCAAGCCAATGTGAAAACAAATGATTAAAGAGATATTACTCATACATTTAAATGTAAACAAATATCAGCCACCTAGCTACCTGACATAGAAGGAGCCTGAAATGTACTTCACGCTTTCCTTGGTCAGTAGTGACTTGCTGGCTGTAAATATTTAATCTCCCCCTGGTGAAACTGCAGCTTCTGTATGCATGCTCTCCAGAATTCCTGATAATGAGCAAGAGACACAAGTCTATGTTGTCTTAATATTATGTTAGCAAATACATTTTTACATTTAATTTTCTTACATAGGCAATTTACTGTCTCACAGCTGCTTTTTAAAAATGCATTATGTATGAGAACCTAGGAGTAGTAACTTTGTTAACACCCTTACAAAATCACCTTACAACCTGGAGGGGTCCCCAGGGATGCTGGATATTTCCTGAGATGCAGCATATGGACATTAGTAATACAATACAGCTTTATTTCCTTCTAACTGATTGAGCTAACTTTAAATTTATTAAAAACTGTCAAATACTTATTACCACCTCTTTCTAAGATGATCCTGTCTGCTCTCTCTGCAGGTGGCGGCTGTCATGTAGTTCGGCCTTTTACTTCATGGATTTTGAGTCTTGAGGATTTTGAACATTTAGTTTTTGTCACTATTTGTCTAAGTTCCTAGACATTCTATATATACACTTAATCATGTGTAATGCAGTCCAATAATGAATAGAACTTTATTTTGAAGAATTTAACTAGGTTGGGAAAATTCTTGTTTTTCTAAACTCCAATCAAAATGCAATTTGTGTTAGAATGAGAGACTGACCGAGGAAGTAGTAAAAGCAAGTAAAACCAAAGGGGCCAAAGTGCTTGTGCTGGTAACAGAAGAGCCACCCTGTCAGTAGGTTGGCAGCGCCTGAGGTAGCCAGGGCGTGAGGATGACTAGCTTGTTTAAACGCAGTAGCAGCAATGGAGGCTCCAGAAGCAGTGGAAATGGGGGTGGGGGTGGCAGTGGACAGGGGCAGCTTAACAATAGCAGGCCAAGCCGACAGGTCAGACGCCTGGAGTTCAACCAGGCCATGGAGGACTTCAAGACCATGTTCCCCTCTATGGACTATGAGGTGATAGAGTGTGTGCTGCGATCTAACAATGGAGCTGTGGATGCTACCATCGACCAGCTGCTGCAAATGAGCATTGACGGACAAGGCTCAGATGACAGCTCAGACTCGGATGACAGCATCCCACCAGAGGTCAGTGGAAAGGGTCCAAGGGTACAAACACCAATACCTGCTGAGCTTGACTGGCTGTCAGTGCTGGCACTGTAAACCAAAGCGTCCCCTGCATTTAAATGCACATTAGGGTTCTGGTGATGACCAGGCTTTTACAGCGTTCATGTTTGGATTTGCACATGTCTTGCATTCAGAAACGTGAGCAAGAAATGTGACGTTTTGAGAAACATGTGCATGCAATGTATATAATGCAAAAGCACAATATTATGATGTTTGAACTTTCTTTGATGGTACAGAGCATAGTGGCTCAAATCACATGATAATGGCAAGGCAACAGATGGTAAAATGCATCTAGGAATAAAGTAATAACCAGGATTAAAGTTCAAGTGTTTAAGTTCCATGTGAAGGGATTAAAGGTTACAAAAATCAACGTATGGGAAGTTTAAAAACCAGGTTGCTATCTAACAGGATTCCTGTAAAAGCAGTCACTGAAAATTTCAAGATGGCTCTGAAAAAAGAATGAATACATGTGATGAGATTTCTCAATCACATGTATTCATGTGATTTTTAGAAGTTCTGTTGATACAAAATTGTATTTGTTTTATTTATTTATTTTTAAAGAGAATCTGTTCTATAATTGGCTTACAGCCAAAGACTGGAACTGCAGAAATGTCCATTTTTTTGACAAGTTGTTGTATCGAATCAGATGTTCTTGTCTAGGATGTGGTCATATGCATGAAGGCACCATGACAAGTATAACAATAAAACGATGCTGGTCAGTCTTTTTACTGAAAAGAGCATAGCTACTCAGTTCAAGATCAAGAACTTTTGCAGTAACTTGAAGTTTATTTAGCTGGAAAAAATGGAAATCTAGCTTAAGGCAGCTTAAATCAATCAAAGCACCTAATCAAACAAAACTTGTGTTTTCTAGATATTGGAGCGAACTCTGGAGCCTGACAGCTCAGATGAGGAGGCACCTCCAGTTTACTCTCCACCAACATATGACATGCACATTTATGATAGGAAATACCTAGAAGCCCCACCAACACTATCTCCACGGTAAGTAACAAAGACTTAGGTGCTATGTTTTACATAATTGTTCTGTTAATTTTTTAAATAAAATACCTCTGTAACCTGCTGAAGCCTCGGGCATTGCTTTTGTAAATAAAATATATCAAGAACATTTCTTCAAATTTGGCTCAAATGTCTCTTGGACTCAAAGATAAATTGTCTTTTTTTCTAGGTCAAAAGTCAAGGTCACAGTGACTCATCAACATGAGTCCATATTTCAAGAATTCAGATTCTAGTTATAACAAAAAAGTGAAGTGATAACATTTCCCCAGGTTAATGGTCAGTTTCACTGTAATATCACAATGCAGACACATTTTTCAGAGTGGACATGGGTCCCTAAAATATCTCAAAATATCTTAAGTATTCATTAAAGCATTTAATTGTCTGGGTGGGTGTTTCAGTCATTGCAGTCACTTCAGTGTTGCTATTTTCACAATTTCACATATTTAGAGCAAACAATGCCTCTGCGCTGTGTATTCGAGGTGTTTTAGATTAAGAACAAACAGCTTCCATATATGTATATATGGTCATGTTATTTGCTAATAAAATGTTTTAAAACCAATGAAATCCTTCTAATTTTTATTGACTGTATAATAGAAACGTAAAAAATGATCTAAATAAGTGGCAAAGAAACAAATAAACATTGTACGTCTACCAAAACGTGGCCACAGTTGTAGTTGTGTTCATCCAAAGCGGGGCCTTTACAGTGTTTTTATGCTCGCTGCATGCCTCTTGTCGTGGCTGTCATACACCGATTTTGACGTTTGGCATGCTGGTCGGTTGAGCACACACTGTGGCCGAGTAGGGGTTTTTTGTTTGTTTTTTTTTGTCCTTCCCCAAGGGCAAAGTCTTCCAGGTTTGACTTCCCCTTCCTGTCTCAGCAACTATTTCACAGTGTTGTCTGAGTGGCGCCACCTATCATTCAGGAGAATGCTGCAGTCCCTTCCTGTGCCTTAACAGCGGGCATACCGGAGTGACTTTGTGATGATCATGTGGTGGCAAGTGAAGCAACCAACCAGAGATTATACTGGTGACCTTAGTTGTGCTTTTGTCCTTCAGCAAACTGTGGAGGGTTGTAAAGTACAAAGGCTTTGTTCAAGGACAAAGGACATGGTCTACGTAGGCTGAGTCCTTTGAAGGAACCAACCCCTGAATTTGCAGTGTGTAAACACAAACGGCCCAGCACAGCTGTTGTGTGGTTTTCCTTTTGTGTTTTTGATCTTTTGATGTTTTGTTTTTCCCCATATTGTTGTTTCCTTTTGATACCTTATTTTTTCTTCCAGGCCTACATTTCAGACAACCAGCAGTTGACCAACACATACCGTCCACATAAGGAGATGCATTCTTTTAATTTTTAATTTTTTTTTTATTTATTTATTTTTTGGAGGATTGCACATGTCTATGTACGTTGAATGCCCTTAGTCCTTCAATCTGTGTAGCAGAATAACTATGCAAACTGACACAAAAGCAGTGCCATCCCCCATAAGAGTCCTCTCCTTTCAGAGAGTGTATCCCCTGAGGAGGGTCTTTAGTGGGGTAAAAGTATCTTCCTTTTCATGTAGACCCTGGTCCATGCAATTGATGAAGAAGTTTTCTCTGACGCTTTGTGCCGCCAAGAAAAGTTACTGCAATGTGAAACTTTGTAACTATTATTGACTTTATGCATTGCTTTAAGTGGCCATTTAAAAAAAAAAGAAAAAGAAAATCAGCATAGGTGTTCCCCAGTTACCACTATATGTGAAGGACAGTGTCACAGGGAATTCGTAGAACCTTTTTGTTGTGAGGTGAATGTCCTGCTGGGCTGGGGCCTTTCTGTGTGGAGTTTGGTCTGGTTTTTCTGACTTCCTCTCACAGTCCAAACAGACACATGTTCAGCTAATTGTCGATTAGACAAGTAGTTCAATAGTAAAACTATAAAAGCACCATGCAAATGCCAGTGTGGGTCCGATCCTGTGCTGCTCCTTTAACATCTGTATCAGCAGCTATGATAATTCATCCAAAGATTATTTACTGCAGTACAATGATGCAGAGATATGTAAATAGTTATGGGGTGACGACAGACAATACCATACAGCCCAGCACCTTTTGTGACTTGAACAAAAAGCAGCATAAGATTGTATGTTATATGCAAACACTGACAATGCTTTAAAGACCTAAACCAAGCAAAGAGTTGGCACGTCTTAAAATCGAATTAGCCTGTTTTAATTGTTTGACAGTATTATAGATTGTGTCTAGGCCACATTTGCAAACACTCACCAGGCATTTTCTCATTCATAACATCATTTTCCTGTTGAGATATATGGGGAAAAATAGATGTTTCTTGTCTCTAGCACTCCGTAGTTATTATTGTGAGAGCACCATATAAAGGATTTAAATAATTAATAATAGTTTCAGATAGAGACAACTTGAAAATGCAACTGGTAGATTTACTAATCTGTCCTGTTACTCCGTGGACTCTCCTAGATCTAAAGCCCAGCCTCCTTCAGCTCACCAGCAGGTCAGAAGCTACCGTAACTGGAACCCTCCATTGCTCGGAAATCTCCCTGATGATTTTCTACGGATTCTTCCACAGCAGTTAGACAACATTAAGGTAAAAATGGGATTGTTTTTTCCCCAAGTGTTCACGAGATGGCTCCTTTTTTTTTTCTTACTGTTAAATACTGTTAATACCATTAATGTCTTTTTCTTATGTTGGCCTTGTTTGGTTTTTTTTTGTTTGCTTGCTTTGTGATACTGTAATATGTATGTAGTTAAACAAACAAAAACGAAATAAACCTATCAGAGACAGAGAAAAGCCTTACGGAGTGGCTGAATTAACAATCTGGGACATGCTTAAAAAGAAGAATTGCATTTGTTGGTTAAGAAAACACCTTGATAACATATCCAAGTCAAGAACGTTGTCACACAAACGCACTCTTTATTAGGACGCAAGCTATAAAATGCCAGGATCTGGTGAAGTTTAAAACAGTGCAAATAATATATAAGGCAAAGAAAGGGATGCTCCCAATCGAAATAAGTAAATGGTTCTTAGAAAGAGAAGGGAGGTATAATTTTAGAGGGAAGTGGAATTTAAAATTACAAAGAGTAAGAACAACATTGAAAAGGATGTCTATTTCAATAGTGGGAGTTAAATTCTGGAATGAGTTAGAAGAAGAAATAAAGGTCAGTAGTGATATAAACCAGTTTAAAATAAAACTCAAAAAAGAAATTTTAAATAAGTATAAGAATGAAGAAAATGCAATTAACCCAAGACAGCAGTCAAAGTGATGTTTATTTTCTTCTGCAAATTAGCAAATCGAAATATAGTTTAGTTGAACATGAGAAAACATTTTTTTTGTGATGTTATGTTCTAAGTTGAAGGCGTTGTATACGTTTTTGTTGTTCAAATTTAGATGATGAGGATGTAAACCTGAGGGGGCTAAATAAGTATATACTTCTGCCTACTCCTATTCAAACAACTGCATGGAATGATTTTATGAAACGTTGGTGAATGTATATGTTTGAAATAAAAAAGAACTGAACTGAACTGAAGGAGGTAGTGTGTCAGCCTTCACTGACAGAAGATTGTGTTCTGACAGCCACATCAGAAATGTTTGGCTAAGTTAATTATATTACTGGGGGCAAGGAGGAGAACATCTTTGTGTAATTCAATGCAATTCAATTTTATTTATACAGCGCCAAATCACAACAACAGTTCCCTCAATGCACTTTAGTAGACCCTACAATAATACATACAGAGAAAAACCAAAGAATCATATGACCCCCCTGTGAGCAAGCACTTTGGCGACAGTGGGAAGGAAAAACTCAATTTTAACAGGAAGAAATTTCCAGCAACGGATGTATCCCCAGATATGTTATTTAAATATAGACGTTTGGTATCCACAGAAATGTCAGAATCTCAGCTAAAAGCGTACAATACCGTTTAAACAACCACCAAACAGCAAACAATTAAAGAGCAGGTAAATCCACAAAACGATGTAAACACAAATCGCTGATCGTTCACCCGACATGCTGTCGGGTACTGAAATCCAACCTCTCACAGATTCTGAAACTGCAGGTTTCGTTGTCACATTTTCATCACAGAAAAGTTTGTTTTTCACTTTGTTTTTTGTGATATTCTTTTTATTTCTTTTGTTGATGCAAAGACAACTTTAAAAGCATCACAAACATTAAAAAAAAAAACCAAGCCAAACGGAAACAGTGAAAACTGTAGTGGCTTACTTGAAAAGTAGTTACCCTGGTACAAACAATAGTTATAAGGAGGGTGTGTGGGTGGAGACCATTTTGACCAGATTCTATAAATGTATGTTATGACCCAAAATTGCGATCTTTTCAATTATGTAAATTTCTTGCACAATAGCAACCCTTTCTTCAATGGTAGGTGCTTAAACTTTCAGCCATTTTCTTGTAATGGCAATAAATTTTGTAGTACATCACCCATATCCATAGTAGTGCATTTAAAAGGAATCTTAACACCAAAAACATTCTCTATGTTAATTTGGATTTCTTTCCAGTAACCTCTAATGATACGGGATTCCCAGAAAATATGACCATGAGGGCCTCCTCTAGTCCCACAACGTCTCCAGTTGACATCTCCACTGCCCAGATGTCTTTTCTGAATGGGTGTGAAGAAAAATCTCAGTGTTCTTCCAATAGAACTCTCACTATGTATTTGTGAAAGTCCAATGAAGCTGCCATACGTTTCCCAGGTTTCTGCTGGAGCCTCAGTTCAGCCTCGCACTTCTTCCTTATATAGCCCATATTTCCTTGTTGAGACAACTTCCATTATAAAGTCTGGAAATCACTTTAAAACAATGTGCTGGTTTCATTAATGACAGGAAAGCCACCAAAAATCCCACATTATAACCACTCAGGGTATTTTTTTTAAATTTTTGGTTAAAGTAATGTCTGACTTGTAGGAATTTGTAAAAGTCAACTTATTCTAAACTGTACTAATTTTAAATCTTTAAAACTCTTAAATGACTCCCTGTGGAGAAATGATTTACAGCATGTGAGGCACCTGAGGGTCCAATTTTTAAATCTGTCATCACTTTTGTTCAGTACAAAGTCAGAATCGCACCATCTCAACGTTTTGGATGGATCCTCTAGTTTAGAAGTGCTAATTACACCTTTCAAGGTGTTAAACTGGCAGTCCTGATAGGGGGTTTTCTGAAACCGTCAACTCATCCTTAAATTTTACTATCAGCTAGGAGGGCAATAACAGGGAACACCTTTCACAGTAATAACGAGTTACAATAGTCCATCCTAGAGGTAATAAATGCATGAACTAGTTTTTCTTTGTTACTCTCAGACAGGATATGTCTCATTTTTTGAGACATTGTGCAAATAGAAGAAAGCAGTCTTACATATTTGTTTAATGTGTGCATTGAACAATATATCCTCCGCAATTCCTAAAAGTGTTACTGGAGGCCAAGGTAATGCCATCCAGAGTAAGCTTCTAGCTAGATGCCAGATTTCTAAGATTTTTAGGGCCAAAGTACAATAACTTTAGCTTTATCTAAATTTAGAAGCAGGACCAATTAGAAGTGGCACAGTGGTTAGCACTGTTGCCTCATAGCAAGAAGGTCCTGAGTTGAATTCCACAATCAGGCCGTGGTCTTTTTGTGTGAATTTTGCATGTGTTTGTGTGGGTTCTCTCTAGGTAATCCGGAGGCCACTCCCACTAATTCGTTAATTGGAAACTCTAAATTGCCCAGAGATGTGAATGCAGGTGTAAGTGTGAATGGTTGTATATGTGTTAGCTCTGCAACAGACTGGCAACCTGTCCACGGTCCACTTTGCCTCTCACCCTAACACATCTGCGATAGGGTCCAGGCGCAGCTTTCCCAGCGACCCTGAAAAGGATAAGCGGAAGAGATGTCTTTACATCTGTATGACATTCCCACAGTTTAACTATCTGGCTATCTGGCTTCACGGATAGATAAAGTTGGGTGTTATCTGCATAGCAGTGAGAATGTATGCATACATTGCTATACCTAAGGGAAGCATGTATAATGTAAACAGAATTGGTCCTAGCACTGAACCCTGTGTGTCAAGAGGACTCTCCATTTAAATGAACAAATTGGAGTCTGTTAGGTAAATGATTCAAACCATTGCAGCGCAGTACCTGTAATACCTACAGCATGTTCTAATCGCTGTAATAAAATATCATGGTCAACAGTATCAAATGCTTCTGGCTACACTGAGGTCTAGCACGACAAGCACAGAGATGAGTCCACTGTCAGAGGCCATAAGAGCATCACTTGTAACCTTCACTAAAGCTGTTTCTGTGCTTTGATGAGCTCTGAAACCTGACCGAAACTCTTCAATTAAACGATTTCTCTGCAGATGATCAGTTTACAATAGAGTTTACAATAAGTCTTTCAAAAAAATGTTCAGATAAAAGGAAAGGCAGCTAGGTCAAGTGATGGCTTTTGAGGAAGTAATTACTGAATAAATTGGAGAAAAACAGTCTAAATAAATATTTGTGGTACACAATGTTAAGTCTGTGAGATTATGAATAATTTTTTCTCTTAATGGTTAACATTTATTTTGTGAAGAAGTTCATGAAGTCATTACTAGGCAACATTAAACAAATGGTTGGCTCAACAGTGCTCTGACTTTTTGTCAGCCTGGCTACAGTGCTGAAGAGAAACTTGGGGTTCTTATTTTCTTCAATCAGTGCTGAATAGTGGGATGTTCTAGCTCTATGGAAGCCTTTTTATAGAGCAGCACCAAACTAGCTACAGATTTTTCAAGAGTGCAGAGCTGGAACTCCACTTTAGTAATCCTGGCCTCTGAAGTTGTAAATGGGCTATGTTTATTACAAGTATCGTTATTACTCAAGGAGGCTGAGGAGTAACTAAAATCTGACCGAGCAGGAAAGTGCAGGAGGGACTATGACCTGCGAGATAAAGCTTGCTGACACTGGGCATGACATTTCATTCCAGAATGGCTTGATAGTCTGGAGATTTAATTGTACACTGCATAGACTCAAGACACCCTGTGTCACATGCAGCAAAGCATCCCCAGAACATGTCCATGCCTCCTCTGTTTTTCACTGTAGGTTCAATGGTTTTTTTTCTTTGCTTCATTTCTACCCCTCGACTGTTAAAGGCTGCTGGGGTATTATCGTCACCCCACTGGGCGATGTGGACACTCAAGTTTGTAAATGCAATAACTTGAGAACAAAGTGATGTAAGAGCTTCAAATTGACACCATTGGTGTGTCAAGTGTGTGACGAGAACTTTCAAAAATTGATAGTATTGAACAAGTTTGAATCTCAGTGACTTTGGTCTCAGAGTCAGAGTAAACTGAAGCTTGTCCCAGGCTATCGCACAGCTAACACGGAGAGACAGACGACCATTCACACTCAAATTCACACTTTTAGAATTTAAAATAATAATAATAAAATTATAATTTTATTTCATTTTTTTCTGTGACCACTGAACTTTTTTTTTCTTTAGTGGAAAATGATCAACAGTTTTGTTCACATCTGTGTACCCTGATTAAAAATTAGACCCCCCCCCAAACAGCTGCTCTGTTTTTTACGTGAATTAGTGTGTTGTTTATTTAGTATTTATCCTCCCCATTGTCTTTTACCGCCTCATCCTCACTTGATTTATAGACCTGCATTTAACACACAGGCACAACATTTTTTCCATCAATTTTTCTTCACATCTACCTCTTAGTTTATTCTACAATACATTTGTAACAGGGTCTTTCTGTGTGGAGTTTGCATGTTCTCCTCATGTTTGCGTGGGTTCCCTCTGGGTACTCCGGCTTCCTCCCACCGTCCAAAGACATGCACTTTGTGGGGATAGGTTAATTGAGAAATCTAAATTGCCACTAGGTGTGAATGCGGGAGTGAATGTGAGTGCGAATGGTCGTCTGTCCCTGTGTGTTGGCCCTGCGACAGACTGGCGACCTGTCCAGGGTGTACCCCGCCTCTCGCCCTATGACAGCTGGGATAGGCTCCAGCGCCCCCCGCAACCCTGAAAAGGATAAGCGGAAGCAAATGAATGGATGGATGGACATTTGTGGCCAGTGCTGGTACAAAATTTGTTTTTCATGCACTTTTCTGCTTCAGTTATTATTTTGATTACTTTTTTACATGGTTCTATAATGTAATGACGAACAGTCACAGGGATTTCATAAAGGGTTTTTTTGTTTTGTTTTGGTCTTTTTTGCATTTTTGGCATTGGTGCCACTGGTTTAGACAAAATAATAGTAATCCTGAGTACTAGATTGATACATACATTAATCCTTTTTTTTTTCTCAGCAGAGCTCTCAGAACAGTCTGTCTCAGCTGTCACCGTCCTCCTCGTCAGTTTCTTCATTAGGTCAGTGGACAGTGCAGTCTGGTTCTGGGTCTGCTGCTGGAACCACTGGGGGTCCTGGTTTAACAACAGCAGCTACAGAGCAAGACAAGAAACTGAAACAGTATCTGGAAGATGAGCGTATCGCGCTGTTCCTGCAGAACGAAGAGTTTATGAGAGAGCTACAACGCAACCACGAGTTTCTCATTGCCTTAGAGAAAGGTATTCCTGCTCACAGTATACACAGAAAAATTCTGCCATTAATGTCAACATGAGCCTGTGAGTTGCACTGCCTCGTCTTATATCTTACCTGATGTATTGGAATTTAAAAAATACTTAATAAGATACTGTTAATACTGAAGAGCTGTCAAGTCCTTTTACAGTGTTGTGCATCTAGCCCAGGGGTGTTGAACTCCAGGCCTCGAGGGCCGGTGTCCTACAGGTTTCAGATCTCACCCTGGGTCAACACACCTGAATCAAATGATCAGTTCATTACCAAGTCATATTGCTAATATGACTTGTTTATTTCATGAAGTGCAGTGTTAGTTTTACGCCAGATGTAATCGGATGTAATCTTCCATAAAGTTCAATGTTTGTCTTGTTAGCCACAGAATTTTTTCCCAAAATCGTTACGTAAATTTTTTGCCAATTCTGAGATAAGCCTTTTGCCTCTTTTCCACTAGCACCTACTCGGCTTGACTTGACTGTACTTTGCTCTACTTGGTTTTGGATGATCCACCTGAATGTGGATGGGTTTGTTGGACCAAGGCAGAATGAAAGTTCTTTGTTGTATGTGACACAAACAACAAAACAAGACGTGTGAAGTAACTGCTTATTGATGGACTTAATCCACTAAAAACGTAATCATTGACGATTTTTCTAGAGTTAAACCCACGATTGAGTGGGGAAGGAATCACAGGAGGCTGACAAAACACAAATATGCCTAAAATAGAAGATAAAAACAACTCACCGGCAAGAGCTAGCAATGTCTTGCTCGACTGGAAGCTAGATACTACCTACGTAATGGAAAACCCTAAGAACAGAAAGTCAAGTCCAGCTAAGTAGGTGATGGTGGGAAAGAGGCTTTTTGCGTTCTTTTTGGTCAGCAGTGGATTTTGCCTTGGAACTCTTACATGGACAGAGTTTTTACCTGGTCTCTTTCTTAGTGCTGAATTATGAGCAGTCAACTTAGTTAAGTTCAGTGAAAGTAAGGATTGAATTCCTTTAGTGTATTTTCTTTTCTTTTCTTTTTTTTGTGACCTCCTGGATGAACCGTTGATGCTCTTTTGGAATAGCATTGGTAGACCTTCCACTACTAGGAAGGTTCACCACTGTTCCAGGTTATATCCATTTGTGGGTAATGGCTCTCACTGTGTTTTGCTGGAGTGCCAATGCTTGGTAAAGATTTGCAACCCTTTCCAGACTAGTAGATATCACTTATGTTTTTTTCTCATCTATTCTTAAGTTTCTTTAGATTATATTATGTGTTGTGTTGCCTGCATAACCTATTTCACTTTGTCAGACAGGTTCTTGGTAAGTTAGGCCTAGCGAAATTGAACTCAACTTTCCAAAAAGGTGGTTAATGACAGTTAATTTATCATTTAAATTACTTTTTCACACAGGGCAAGGTAGTTTTTTTCCCCTTAATGAATAAAAACATAATTTAAGTTCACATTTTGTAGTCAATCCAGTTACCTTTGTCTAATACTAAATAGTGACGTGGGCGAGTAGTTGACTTGCTGACTAATCATGGCTAATCGGTACCAGACTAGTTGTCTAATCAAATTATTAAAATTTTAATTGATGCCCAATGCCTGTAAATTATTGTCATAAATGTTATGCAACCATCTGCCACCAGATAGCACATTGTTTTTGAGAAATGTAATAAATCTGTGAATCTATTCAATTCAATTCAATTCAATTCAATTTTATTTATATAGCGCCAAATCACAACAAATGTCGCCTCAAGGCGCTTCATAGATACAGGAAGAAACCCCCCAGAACACCAGGCTCAGGGAGGGGCGGCCATCTGCTGCGACCGGTTGGGGTGAGAGAAGGAAGACTCTAGGCCTTATCTTTTTGTATTAGAGCATGGAGGAAATTAGCTTTCTCTGAAAGGTGGATGGCTTATCCCTTTAGCAACAGGGTAGGGAGCTCAGAGTAGAGCAGCTACTCCTCCACATCCACTCCTCCACAGACTCCTGGGTAAGGTGTCCCGACTGTGAATGTCCTACCAGGAGGAGACCCCGGTGTAGACCCGTAACACACTAGGGAGATTACATGTATTTGCTGACGTGCAAAATAATCTATGTATATTTATTCGTAGATTACCATTCTTTTTCTATTATATAACAGAAAATTACTGACTGCAGGATTTTGTGAAAGCACACATTGTGTTTTGCTGAGGACCACTGAATGTAAACATAACTGTTTAAAGAAAACTGCACAGTGCAGAAAACTGTTTATTTTTTCTTGTTTTATTTTGCTTTGTTATTGCCAAGGTCTGCTTTTATGCTTAAGTATTATGCTTGGTTTGTTTTTATTACTTTGGTTAAAGTAATAAAATTTAAACGTTTGCTCTCATACAACACAGTATTAACAAAAAAGTCTAGAGAATGCTGGAACCAAAATCTGAAAAAGAAGAACTCTCAAACACATCTGCATATGCTTGGCAGTCACCGCAAAACAAGAAATCTGTGTTCATTAAACAAAACAAAACCTATTTTGGGGTGGCTCGCATTCATGAAAAGTCAACTTCTTAGTGATAGTTCACTATAAGTAGTGGGATATATCTCTGTACGTTTATTGTGAAAGATTTGCACAAGAAGTTGCTGCATTTACTCTACAATGTGCCAGAGCTCTAACAGTTTGCCTTTCCCTGCAGAAACTGAGATTAAGAATTTAAATTTGGGTCATATTACTTTCATGCTAGAGCTCGTCACATCTGGGCAACACACATTAGTGGTCATAACATCTGCTCTCTTTTTAGATCGCTTGAAGTATGAGTCAAAGAAATCAAAGTCCAATCATTCAACTAGCTTGGAGAATTCCACAGGTAGATATCACTCATCAAGATTTCTCTGCTAAGCTACTTTGAGCTCTGTCTAAATTGTACAGAGTACTGGTTTATGTGTTTGTGCATTCACTGTGTTAGCTGCATCAAACATTTGCACTCAATATATCACACTGTGCATATTTACGTTTGATATATTTGATCTTCAGATGCATAAGTGTACTGTGTGGTAGTGCTTCTGTGTATGTGTGCAGGAGACCAGTACTCTGGAGCTTCCATGGAGGCCATCTCAGATGATGCGTTCAGAGACAAACTCAAACACATGGGCAAATGTAAGTCTGCTGATTTACAGTAGTATTATTGTTTCACAATACCTACCTAGGAGGATGGCTGCTGTGTTTGCTTCGGATTACTCCTCACCCCCCACCCGACCC